CACGGAACTGCCCGCGGTCGCCCGCTAGCTCCTGTTAAATACTCCCCCGGTCCCGCGCATGCGTGCTAGGCGGCTCGAGCTCCACCCCTTAATTCAAACTCCGCATCTCAACCCCCAAATCCCCCTATTCTTATCTTATTTATTCCTATTCCTAATCAGATTGACGATACAAAGGTATGATTCAATTCGAGAAGGCTATCTATTACCAAAAGCGAGATTTAAATCGCGCCAGCTTCACCAGATAATTTCTGTTTACATTATACTGGAGATCGTTTCTTTAAGGGGCGAAAGAACCCTACAATGCTTCCTTGTTTAATGGAGAGTTTCTGTTACTTTTCATAAAAATCTATAATGAATGAAATCTTCAGCAACACTTGGTTTAGTATAGGTATTTTGTGCAAATTCGTACATAAACTGAACTGAATGGCATATTCGTGAAATTTGTCGTTTGACATTATTCAACACAGGTCAAATATTAGACGAAAACAGATAAACTGGTGAATATGAAATCTCGACTCAACCTAACCTTCCTCCTTCGGACTGCAGTTTTTAAACTTTTAGACCGGGTTTATAACTTTCTAGAACGAGTAGATCACTGTCTCAACCGGTTGGTAAGTTAAAAAAATGTGAGCCTAATGCCTAAGTACTCATTCAATGACTTTGAACTCTTACTGATTAATAACAGAACATGAGGTTCACATAAGAATGGAAAATTTCCTTCTTCGTAAGAATCGTACCCGCCTAACTGCTCAGGCGACTGCGTCTACCGGTTAACTGAACCTGTTAATCCATATGTCTGTGACTCGGAGCGAGAAGTGCTGTCGCTTGGATGAGTTGCACTTTATTTCTTTACTCTATAACCATGGCTCCCTGGTATTTGGTTCTTGTTTCATCCTCTGGTAATTTATCTGAATGCTTGCATAAACCATGACCACACTTGTATGCTTCGATGAGGTCGCCCCGCAGACGCCGATAACAAAGAGTTGGAAGCATCATAGTCGCTTATCTTTCTTCAGTATATTTAGGCTTGCCATTTAAGCTTGGAATTATCCATTTTGCACGTCTTTCAACTCTCGACTGAATTTGTGTCCTTTCAAGTTTTTATTTGTGCACGCGATATCACGCTATGTCGCGCTATGGACGCCAATAACCAAACGCCATTTTAAGATCATGGTTTAAATTTCCCTCTTGCTTCAAACTTGCGATTAATTAGTCATTCATATGTAATATAATCAAGTCATGACGTCATGGCTGAACATGACTCGTGATGTTAATAGGACGTATAGCTGCAAACTTGCAACTACCGTATGTACTCTGCTAGTAAGCAGTAGAAACCATGGCGACAACAAGCTCCAAAATTTTTCAGAATGTCTCAACAGCCCTTTATGGAAAAAATCCAGTTCAAATGCATGGTTCAACGCGAGTAAGTTGAATACCATTCTCGTTTCATGTATGCGGCCGGCATACAAAGCCCTACGTTCGTACAGCAGCTGTGATACGCTGTGGGCCTGACCGCTCATTGTTCGTGCTGCTTGAATTACTCGCAATTGTCTATTATTGAATAGGAAAATGTGTAAGGTGCGCAAAAAAATTAAATAAACCTTTCCCTATATTACGGTCTACGGATCTCCTACCCCACTAGTAAAGATAAGGTCTTCTAATGATGCAAGCACGAATTATGGTAAGAGATAAATCGATTGGAGGTAGATGGATTTAATTATTTTGGTAACATACGATATATTAAGCGATATATTTCTAAAAACGGTTTTATCTGATTTTCTAATTTCGACGTTATTTTCTCCAGGTTAGGAAGAGTAATTTTTTTCACTAAATTTTCAACTGCAATCAATTTCACCTTAACCACAATCCACACAAGATATAATTTGCACTCTAAAATTTGATCATTTCGTCATGCCCCATTACGATTCGATCTTCACCAGGCTTTGATCGAATCAGAATCTTTCTAGCTTTTATATGAATTTGCAAACTGAAAGCTTGTAAATTGAAGGAACACTTCTTACTTACTTCAGTTTCGAATACCATTTTAAATGTTGACGTTTCATTTTAAACAAAAAGTATTAAAAATTGTAAATCGAATTCAATTTACATTATTTTATTGAACTCCAGCTATTATCTGCTTCCACATAAGAACATTAGATTTGAAATCGTTCTTGTAACTCGATACGGGACACCTATTATAGACATTTCGTATTTATCTAATATGGGTTAAAAAAACGATCTTCCCGCCAATTTTGCATGATAAAACATTTAAATAGATTATGATGAAATTGGTCCTGGACAAAGTCCTGAAACCATTGCACCCCGATATTGCAGCGTGCTGCTTGCGCCTGATGTAATTAAGGTTAATTTATGAAATGAAACTAATGAAAAATAACTCATGTTTATTACAGTGCAATTGCGAATTTTACTTGAAATTATTCGAAAGAGAATAATAGTGTGTAGAAAAAGAACATGGAATAAAAGAAAACAAAAGTGAGTGATATGTTTGCTGTGCCAAAACAATATGGGATAAAAATAAAATATGGGATACACACAGATCATGTAAATAGTTTCAGCACTCTGATTCGATCCTATTATTACACCAGTCAGTGATGCCCTTCGGTCGCACACCAGCCCGCATGATACTCAGGTCTTAAACCATCCTTATAATACTCTGATGACATTGGAGAAGATAGTATAATTTGCTTCCTATACCAACCATTAGACTATTTTTGTCTAACACCAGCTTGAATAATTTTTAAGCCTCACACTAGCCTTTATAAGACATTCTATCTCACCAGCGTCTAAAATGCTAGTCTTATATCTTACGGAAAATGCATCGCCTAGGACCATCTGTAGACAAATTTTGAGGATACCTGCAAACAGAGTCACCCTGACCCGGCTTTCATAATGAAGTGTTTTCTTGGACGGGTTCCTGATGATGCCGGCAAAGAGAGTCACATTGACCCGGCCGTCGTACTGATGTGTTTACTTGGACGGGTTCCTGATGATGCCGGCAAAGAGAGTCACATTGACTCGGCTGTCGTAGATGAGAAACAGGAAGGGTCGGTCGGCCACGAACTGGAAAGCGCCGCTCCTCTTGCCGGTGAGCGCCGTTGCGGCAGCAGCCACCGTGCCCTCTTCATCCACCTTCACCTTGGCCTGCGATGAAAATTGAAGTAGTAATACTGTAAATCGCAGGCGAAGTGCAACTCGAAGCCAATCAAATAATATCACTTGATCTACACTTATCTCGACCTACGTGGCACATTCTAAGTTAACGTCGTTTATATTTCTTGATAACCGCCATCTTAATAATTGCGCAGCATAACCGCCAGCAAGATTTTGTAGTATTTTTTTACTCACATCTAGTGGATGGCGGTATCGGGAACACAAATGATTGAAGGTATTTGGACGGTAGTAGCACATACTATACTGTAGTACTGATTGCTAGTACTACTACCCTATAATATTTAGAGTGGAGGGCGGCTCTGAATTAGGGAACGCCTAGGACTCGGGGAGCATAGTAAATCAGCTTCTCTATGTCCGCTCTTAGGTCTACATTCCAATCCCAAGTCAGACAGCTATGAGAGCCAGGTCCTTACTCTGGCGGCCGAGTGGATCGTATTAGGGTCGTCCCCGTATACGGGCAGCTCTGGCCGAGTCTATATGATTGAATAAATCGCCCCCTCTTCCTCTGCTGTGAGAGGAATTGAGGAGAAATTGATTTTATACGTGATTTACTATCAATGCCTGTTTCTCTAACGCGCTGAGTACAAAGAGGCTAAGAGCATGCTAAGAAAATTCTGAATCGTGGGTATACATAGTGTTCGTGGGGAAAACATTTTTCCTTCACACCCGAAGAAATAATGCAAAATGTTATCTATATTCAACTAATGGTAATAATATCAGCGTTGAGTAACCAAACAATACCAGAGTTGTGTATTCTCTGCTATGAGGAACGCTGTCACATCGAAATTTAGCAAAGCATTGGAAAATGGACGAAAAATTAAACCATGATTCTTTTATATTTCGGTTGTATTGAATTAACTGATAACGGCTTTCCACTCTATTGTATTTGTAAACATTTATTGGTTTTGGTGATGGTAAACATTTACAGTCATAGAGAACATACATTTGTTTACATACCCAGTATAGCAGTGTAATCGACATCGGTAAGCAGTGAAGAGTTAATATGAGATTAAATTACACTTAGCTCACCTGCAGTCCGGTGAAAGAACGACGCGCAGCTCCCAAGTCTCGAACGCGGGTGTAGACGATGTATAGCCTTAGCCTGCTCTGGGACGCCTGTCGGAGACCACCACTGCCGTGCCTCGAATGGTTTATCATGATCCCTTTCCTGAAGAACGTAGCCTACACTTCTTAACTGCAACATTATCAGCCGCACGCCACCAGACAGATCACATCCATTGAATTAGATGAATCAGCTCACAGGAAAATAGCCTGACGTCGTATGGCCCAGCGTCGTCTGCCAATACGCTAAAACGCTAAAAAAATTTACACCACCCGGACGGAGCGCGCCGGAGCCGTCCGTATCTGTCCCGCCTATCAGCCTAGCTACGGTCGAACGGCCACGCGTCGTACGACGATAAATTTTGGAACAGAACTAAGCTATCTGAAACCTAACCCCAGATGATGCGAGCTAAAAGTTACGTAATTTAGCGAAGCTGTGGAAGTCTCTCGTCGAAGGACGATAGATTTTGAATTGAACTATGCTTTCTGAAACCTAACCCCGGATGTTGTGAGCTAAAAGTGACGGCCTGGTGGTGCACGGCAGGATGCATGCAGTTCCACTGGCGACCTGTGCTGGTTGGTCGCAGTCCGTAGTCCGCAAGTTACAATTCGAGCTAAAGTCAGGGTATGAAGTAATGATTCGATGCAACGTTCAGTGGTGGACAACGTCTGGACCTCTTCGTGGTGGATGGACCCCTCCGGAGTGACCCGTCGCTCCGTTGGGCCAAACACGGACACAACTCCTCCTTTTGATGGCGGGTATCCACCCTAACCACGGCCTTGACCCTTGTGGCGTATGCGAGCGCCCGGTCACCTGGAGGGGAACTTCCTTCCGATGCTACCGCTGCGGCCTTTGGGTCCACAAACGGTGCTCTGGGCTCAGCAGGGCGTCCCCCAGTATTACACCTGGACCTGCCCCGGGTGTAATGCCCGTTCTTTGCTAACGGACCTCCACCTGCCCTCACCCACTTCCTCCAGTTCAACTGCAACGGCCTGCGGCACTGCGCCGTAGAGTTGGCCCACTTCCTGGCCACCCACTCCATCCTTGTAGCGGTCATACAGGAAAGCAAGCTCACCGAGGTCTCAAACCCCCCGACCTTCCCTGGTTACACCCTGGTCCGCCGCGACAGACCCATCGGCCCTCGCGCTGGCGGTCTCTGTTTTATTGTGAGTCATACCGTCTCGTACTCCCCGATCCCATTAGACCACCTGTTCCCTGGCGATGCAACAACAGAACACCAGGGTATCTCCATCTCTATAGATGTTGCACAACTTCACCTGTATAACATCGGCCGCCCGTGGCACAGCCTTACTCAACCAAATAGATTCAAGCCAGTTAGTCCTACTCAATCAAGACACCCCACCAGGCTCCCGTCACAAGGAGCCCCATCATCTCCTGACCTCACCCTCATCAGCCCCCATTTGGCCCTAGACGCTGTTTGGACTCCACTGGCCCACCTCAACTCTGACCACCTTCCCATTTCCATCTCCCTGGACTCCATGAACTCTCCCAATAACCGTCCTTCCCGCACCTACATCAACCTCCGTCGTGCAGATTGAGACGGTTACGCCGCCGACACAGAGGCCGCTTTCAGCGCTGCTGCTCCCCCTTCCTCTTGCTCCCAAGGAGAGGTCTTCTTTAGGGGGGGTTCTCACTTCGGCGGCCCGTCGACACATCCCTCGTGGATGTAGAAGGGATTTCATTCCCAATCTTCCACCATCTGTCATTCCTCTCATTCAAGAGCGCGACAGGATCCGTGCCTTGAACCCCAACCACCCCAGCCTCCCGGACCTCAACAACAACATCTCAGCAGCCATCACCACACACTCCCGCACAACGTGGATCAAGGAGGTACAGTCAACCAACCTGCAGAGAAATCCATCCAAATTCTGGCTGCTCTTACGCTCCCTCTCCGGTAAGTCAACCAGACAAGCCCCTAACCAACCCATATCCTTCAATAATTCTTATATCACCGCAGACCATATCATAGCCTCATCCTTCTGCCGCCAATTCACGCTGGTTCCCCACTACCAGCGTGACCCTTCCTGCAGGTCCACCTACCGACGTATCAAGCGCCGTAATCCCCTCTCCGACACACCCCCTGTGTTCACTCCGGATCAGAGGCCGGATTATCAAAACTTCGTAACTTTTTGTACTTACGACAAAAAAGTTATGTGGTACGTAAGTATACCCTAATTTTGGCATTATCAAAACTTTCGTACGCAAGTCTTAGCTAAAAGCGTAAATGTTTTTCCCGCGCAAATGTTTCCCGCTCAAATGTTTTGATAATACCACCGCTAGCATTACGTTGTCATAGCAACGCCACTCGTAAGTCTGTAAGGGTATTATGGCCCGCCAGTATATGCGCCCTATTGACAAGCGAGTCGAGCCTTTAACTGTAAGCGGAGGCAATGTAGGCACGGAGGCCGTAAGCCTCCGTCTTGATCTTGCTACTGTGGACCGGAGCGGACAAGCCTGGTCAGGCCGTCTTCCCTCTTAGCCATTCACGATTGTATGTTAACCGCCAATATCAGTTCAGTGTTCTGTAGCCGTCCCCGACATGGGTTTTCCGTCATTAAATTACTTCCTCAAAGCCTCTTCATTAAAACCTGCTCAGTGGGCACTTCCATTTTTTTTATCCTGCCACATATAGCGAATGCCAAAACGAACCGTATATGAAGCCCCTGCTCTGTGAGCACTTACAAAGTCGATTTTGCGTACTTACGAAGTTTTGATAATACGGCCCCTGACCAGACAGGTGGTGTTGAGCTCGGGTACCTCGACTGCCACTGGCCCTGACTCACTCACTACCCTCCACCTCCGTCACCTGGGACCCAGTGGTATCCAGTACCTTACCTAACTTTACAATCTGTCCCTTGCCAAGGCCGACATCCCAGCCATCTGGAAGTCGGCCACTATCATTGCCATTCCAAAGCCAGGCAAACCCCCGTCTATCAGCTCCTCATACCGGCCCATTTCCCTCTTGTGCCCGTCTGTGAAGGTGTTGGAGCGTCTGCTCCTCCCGTTCCTTAATGCAGCGCTTTCCACTTGTGGACTCCCAGCACGGTTTCCGCCCTCTCCACTCCACAACATCCGCCCAACTTCCTCAACTTCCTCACAACATCCGCCCAACAAGTATACTCATGGTCTATACAAGGTCCCTGAAGGGTTACTAGAATTTGAAACAAGAACCAACACCAGGGGCCACGGCTGTAAGCTAAAAAAATTGCGCTAGCTATGGAAAAATATATGTTCAGATTTGAAATGCCTAGCTCCTTATCGAACCCGGTGGAAGTCTAGTAGCTTCTTCAAACTATCGCCAGCCATGAAAAGATCCGGTCAAATGACACGAGTTTAGATCTATGAACAAGGCACGAAATGGGAAAAGAATCGTCGACAGGCCACATCAGGCCTACACTTCAGAGCCGACATCACTATGTTATGTTATGTTATGTAACCCAGGCCATAGCTACAGGCTTCAACCAGCCTCGCCCACCAACCAGGACAATAGCAATGGCAATAGACTTCAGCAAGGCTTTCGACACCGTGCCCCATGCTCAGCTCATCTCATCTCATCTCATGGAACGACACCACCCCCCTCCACGCCAATATCACCCGCTGGCTGATCTGTTACATCAGAGGCAGGTCAGCCAGGTGCGCCTACAATAACTGCATCTCCTCTCCACGGCCGGTCCACGCTGGAGTCCTGCAAGGATCAGTCATCTCGCCCGTTCTCTTCAATTCTTATGTTTCAGACTTCCCCCAGTCCGCCCCCCTAATCACCTCGTATGCGGACGACTTCACTGCCGCTGCGGGGGCCGTCCAGATAGCCGACGCGTCTGCAGTCCTCTCCTCCCACGCTTCCGACGTGGTTGCGTGGGCTCGTCGGAAAGGGTTATCGGTATCCATTCCCAAATCCCACACCACCCTCTTCACCTCCGATACCCACCAATCACAAACTGACTCTCACGTCAGCTGGGAGGGGTCCGACCTTCCACTTTGTCGGACCCCGAAGCTCCTCGGGGCCCACTTCACCTTCTCGCCACATATCGCTGCGATATGCCAGAGAGCCCGCCCGCGCCTCGACATCCTCAAGTCTCTTGCCGGAACCAGCTGGGGCCAGCAGAAGGAAACCCTCTTGGTGACTTTCAAGGCCCTTATTAAGTCCCTCTTCACCTACGCTGACCCAGCGTGGTTCCCAAACGCCTCTCCTTCGTCAATCTCTAAGCTGCAAACCATTCAGAACTCTGCCCTCCGCATAGCCACGGGATCTCTTCAAATGGCCTCTCCCTCACATCTGCACAGCGAAGCTCAGGTCCTACCCGTGGCTGAACACCTCTCTCTGCTCTGCTCACAATACCTTGCCAGTGCCCTACGACCGCACCATCCCAGCTACCCTAACGTCACCAAGACATCGGGGCCCCGTTCCATGAAGCACACGCTTCAGACTCGCTTCCTCCCTTCAGTCTCACCTGCTGGAGGAGGGTTCACTCCCCCCCCGACTCCTACCCCGCCGTCCTCAGGACCCTGCACAGCTCTGCTGTTTCCTCTAACCTGGCCTCAGCAGCTCCTAACAAAGTGTTGCTGACCCCTGCCCCCCCCCGTCTCGTCCAGCAAGCTTTCCCTCCCCAGGGCGGCCAGAAGCGCCCTTTCCCAGCTCCGCTCCGGCTACTCATCGCGGCTCAACTCATACCTTGCCCGCATTGGTGCAGCTAATAGCCCTCTCTGCCCTGAGTGCGGCACTATGGACCACACCACTCATCACCTCTTCAGCTGCCCATTGCATCCCACTTCGCTGACCCCACTGGACCTCTGGTCTAACCCTGGACCGACTGCGGCCTTCCTCTCATCGCTCCCATCCTTCTCCGACATCCTTGGAGTGGAACCCCCGCTCCCTCCCCCTCCCCCGGAGCCGCCGCCTCTGCGTAGGCGCCGCCGAGCAGCGATCCCGGGCAACTAACAACAACAACCATTACTCTCTGGGCTATTCGCTTCAGAATACGCTGGCGTAAAGCTCCTTATATTTTACAGCAAGATGATGTCACGGGCTGATTACCGACGGATGGCTTAATCCGCGGCTGATTGATGGTCATCCGGCAATATGCTAGGCGTTCCTTTCAAGGCTGATTGGTGCACAAATTTGGTGGCGCACGGCTGCGTACCTGCGTACCCGCCTGCTCGCAGCATGCTACGGTGACACGTGTGCATCTCATAATTTTTTAAACTAACTGATAACGGCTATGGAGTTGAAATACAATTTTCATTTCTTGACTATGCAGAAGATAATTATTAGGTTTCTTACATGAATTATTTTAAAATAGTGGTTCCCATACTGTGGTATGCAAGGGAATTCCAGAAGATATTTTCTTACAAATCATATCATAGTAGTGATGTCGGCGCTGAAAAATCGGCGTGTCGGGCTGTCGCCGATTCTTGCACTTTTGTGACTTATTCACAGGAGATCTAAAAACAGGTCTTTCGACCGGATATTTTCCAAACTGACGATAGTTTGAAGTAGTTAGTAGACTTCCACCGGGTTCGATATGGTGCTAGGCATTTCAAGTCCAAACTTATATTTTTCCATAGCTGCATCTAGTCTGTTCTTGAACGCGTTCATACACGGAGCGGTGATGCATGCATGTTCCACATGCCGGGGACTCTAATCGAGAAGTATTGTCTCTTCGATTAGTTGCAACTCAGTTTTTTTAGTTTCTAGCTGTGGCTCCTGGTGCTGGTTTTTCTTTCAAATTCTAGTAATCCTTCTGAGACCTTGTTCCCTGCCTAAGGGCTAAGGGTACGCACACAGTGAAAGCAGGTTTGCCCGCGCGGGCAACCTGCTCCAACCTGCCACAAGAATGAACATAGGATAATAATGTAAGTGTTTAACCAGCACGCTGGCAACCTGCTTTCACTGTGTGCGTACCCTTTGACATCATAATGTTTAAGGAAGCGCAGCCGTGCACCACAAATTTTGTACACCAATAAGCCCTGAATCGAACGCCTTGGATCTCTCCGGACATCCACCAATCAGCCGTGAATGGAACCTGCTATCCGTAACCGATCCTTGACATTCTTCTGCTTTGAATATTTTGAGCTCTGCACCCCCTAGACACGAGGTCGAATAGTCTAGAGTCGAATGGCCGTCCACCAATGAACGTTGCGTCGAAGCATCACTTCATACCCTGGCCACCGCTCGAACTGGAACTTGCGCGCAACAGCCTGCGACCACTTGGCTTTGCCCTCCTCCGGCCTTGCATAAAACCTGCCGTGCACCACCAGGCCGTCGGTCGAAAGAGCCGTGCGAGTGGCTGGGTCAGGTTATAGCGGTTTCAGCGTTTATTAGGCCGTAGGCCTGTCGCCGATTCTTAACATCGCAGAATATTCACAGCTTTTTGCGGTTTCGAAAGCGCAACTCACTACTTCAATTTGGCTTTGCCCCGCCTGGTCTCCTTGCCGATTCTGACCAGAAACTGGCGCACATAGCTGGGATCGAACCCGCGCCTATCTGCGCCAATCTTGGTACTCTGAACTGTAACCACTGGGCCACCCTACCCAGTGGTTACCCCTGTTAGGTTTGGTTAGCACTCGGCTGGAGCGTTCGACGCATGGCCTAGATACGGACGGCTTGGTGGCGGACATCACATTCGCTGCAAAGCTCCGGCGCGCCACGTCCGAATGGTGCAGAATTTTTTTGCGGTACGGCGGACAATACCATGCCATTCGATCGCCGGCTGTTTCTTCTGAGGGCTGATTGGTCTAATTCAATTGATTCGTTCTGTCTGGTGGCTTTCGACTGCCTATATGATTGTCCAGAAGTGTTGAAGGCTACGTTCCGGAAGGCTGGAATCATTATGGTCCATTACATCTAGGGCAGTGGTGGTCTTCGGCAGGCGACCCTTGTTTACTGCCTAACATGATATACATACCTCAGACCTGGCAATGATACAGTTGCCACACGTCGCCATAATAGTACCAGTGCCATACCATTAAATTCGAATTGAACGTTTGCTTGATTCTCTTACATTAGAGTATTAAGATGAAAGAAATGCAAATAATAATTCTTGTGATTGTTTAAATCGTAAATTTAAGCAATCGAGAAGAATAGCAAAACAAACACGTATACATGTTTGTTTTGCTGCACGTATACGTACGCACGCACGCGTACGTATACGTACGCACGCACGCGAACTAGCACTGACTAGCTTCTGGCATACATTTAGTTCGCAGGTGCTGACAAGCTCGCCAATGCAACTCCGGGAGGCTTTTGCCCACTGCCTTCCGTTGTGGGCTTAAAGGGCAGCCTCTGGGCAGTTTATAGGCTGGGTAGGTTCGGTCAAACCCACTCTTGCCGTACTCTCAGGAGACTATAAAGTCGGCAAGGGGACTCTGACTAGTCGCTGATTGCGGTCGAGTGGCTGAGCAGACCCAATATAACCTTACGTCACCTATAGCGAGGCAACGGCAGAGTCTCAATCTTACCTTGATTTTTGTTAGGGTAGAAACGTAGTGGCTGGTAATATCTACAATACGCCTGGTTGATGGTAGTACAGGGAGCACATATGGTTTATAGTAGGTAGTACTGCTATGTGCTGTCACAAAATGGTTGACAGTGTCATCAACACATACCTGGTGTATTGCTGTTTTTACGAAGAGAGAACTGTCTGAGGTGAAGCTGGTGAAGTTCGCCGCGGAATTGAAGATGTCCATGATACCCAAGCGCTTTAGACCCTGAGCAGAGAAAGTTAAAGGAGGTTAACATACGTATGTTTTTGGTCGCATTGATATAATTTATTGTCGATTATTGAGTTGAAAGGGAACGAATTCATAGGCAAACCCTGTATTCTAACACTTATATGAATTATTTTAATAGATTTTATCACAGGGAAGAAAAATAGAATACAAAATATTAGAATATGAAAATATTAGAGCATTTAGATATACGCCATAATCGTCGATAAGTCGGCAAAGAATTGATAAAAAAATTTATGACATTGTTCACGGAATGAATAGGGAACAAAATTTTGATGTGATTACTTTATTCACCTGAAAGTTAAATACGAAGGAAATATTTGTCCTGCATTCAAGTTGGTCCAGAAAGGTGAAAATTTTTCTATCCAGTCGATTAAAATAAATGTAAGTCACTGGACACTCGGTAACAACTTTAGCAATTGACGAAGAAGTGTCGTGTAATTCCGACTTTCACTACTTGATCGTGTACTCCGGTGTCGAGATCGTCCACCGTAGTAAAAAATAATGACCAGCACTATTTAATAGTGTACCTTGATTTCTAGATCATGCGCTGCACATAAAAAATGCTGACCTGCACAAGTTCAACCTCCATCTTTTTAGCAAGATCAAACTTGGGTAGAGAGACCCTGACGATGGTTGGCTTCAAGGCGGCCAGAGACTGCGACAGCGTGGTGGGAGAGAGCTGCTTGAGCGTTTCGTCGACCGTTGACTGCTAAAAACGGAATAATAATAGTGGTTTAAGCGTCGTTGATTAGCCCGTAAACCTTTCGCCGATTCTTAACATAGCAGAACATTCACAGCTTGCTGCGATCTCGGAACACGCAATTCACAGTTCAGATTCTGCTGTGCTTAACCGCCCCGCCACCTCACCGATTCTGACCAGAAACTGTCGCACAGAGCTGGGATCAAACTTGAACCTCTCTGCTCCAATCCTGGTACTCCATGTCAACCCTGGACAGACCTGCTAACTCTACGTCAGAGTAGAGATCGCCTCGCTGATATGCTGTACTCTACACTTATTAATTCTTACTTTAACTGGACGCCGAATTCATCAATGTTAAAGCTCCAACATATAAACATATTTCATCCTAACTGTAAACCTAACTTTAGTCCTAAATAATATTCTATAATCGTTACACTATTTTCACTATACTCAAATCATTGCTACAACCGGAAAAGCCTTCAGGTCTTACTTTATTACTATTCACATAAGATGTGCACAGAAAAGCACATCTGACACATTCCTGGTACTCTTAATTGTAACCACTGGGCCCCCTTGCCCTAAAATTTTGTTGCATTGGTGTGCATGTAATATCAACGAGCATAAATGAGGCGGAGCACATACAAGAAGGATGAACATGCAGGTTATTGCGGTTGTAGAACAGCAACAACATCTTACCGAATGAAAAACAACAAGGCAGCACTTATCAAATGATCTGGCAACATGATCACCATAGACATGTTGCAGTAGTAGTAGGGCAGTTGAAACAACATTAAACAACATGGCAGCACCCACCGAAGGATCCGGCAACATGACCAGCATAGACATGTTGCTGTTGTAGTAGGGGAGTTGTAGCATGGTGGCGCCTAGAGGTGTTGATGCCGCTGCACACAGAATAAACATCAATCACAGATTATTAGTATAGGATAATTTAGTCATAATACTCGTCATCTTAATATTAATTAGTTGTACAACTTCCGCAGTCATGATGCTCTATGATTAGACTGCTTAGCACATCCTAATATTGAAAAATAATGGCAAGTATTGTAACATTCGTTTAAATGAACGAATCTTCCAAAAGGTATCAGCCTCGTGGCAAACAAGAATCAATTAAGGCAACTAGAGGAAGAATTCTCAATTGGACGACAAGTGAACTCACTTAAAAAACGTCAAGAAAAGCTTGATGGACTTTAACTGGCCCCTGTTCGTGAACTTGATAAACATGTAGCATGCAAAAATCGCGCTCGTGATAGTCGCTCAAAGCTCAACCGTAACACATCTACTGAAAACGAGCACTACATTTTCCTGTGTTACTGTCACCAACGTTCGTGCGAATTATTGTTCCGTGACTCATCCACTTGAGAACTAACGTGCCCTCTGTTCCGTGCACATGTATTACAGCACGTGGTGCAGGTAGTAGTAGGAGCACGTACTATATTAACCAAAAACATGCCCTCTGTCACGTTTACAAGTGCTGCAGCACGTACTCATAGTCCAACCACCACAACCACCAACCTAGGTTGAAGGTACTTTCCACGGTCATCATGTCAGCCATGGCTACCATCTCGCCCGATTGCCGGTTAAATTCCTGCAAGTATTTCATATATCATTGAGATAGCACGAACTTGAAATTGAACGCACGAAATAACAAATACCGAGCTAGAAATACCAGAACTTATGACAACTGAATTGCTAAGAAACGTTATTGAGTGATAATAAAATTGCAAGTCAATACAAATCAACTCTGAAAATACATGTTTCAGTCAATAAAAACTTGATAGAGTGGAAATAAAATAGTTTATGTGAAATGAAATAAAAGCGTCTTCTCATCCGCGAAAAAAATTGACAGGGAGAATGCCACATTCTATACAGTGGAAAATACTGACAAGTAAGACTGTATACAACCGTACTATTGGTTGGGTTATCCTTAGAACTAAAAAATATAGTTTCGCTGAATGATTAAGCATCGATATTACACTCGTGGTGAACGACATTGAATTTTTTCCTACATGTCTACTTGTTTTATGTTACTGTTGATTTCGATTTTAATTTAGCATCGACTTCCCATTTTCCGTCCTCATAAGTCAAAACACTAATAAAATCTTATTTGAACAATTTCCATATGCGTTCAGATGTCTTTCTATAATTTGTAGCCGATTTTATGTATATAACCAGACGAAGACCTCCCTTTGTAAACATGAATTATATCGGAAAAACTACACGAAATCGAGTTTAGCTTCACAATAAACTGTGCTTAAGGACAGCAATGTCTGGGGGTTAAAGAACAATACCCTATGGTGATAACTTTCAAAAAATCCGGAGTGAGAACAAAAACTTAAAGGGAAGAACAAAAAAGCCTGATTTGACTGACAAGGAAGCGATATTTAGCTAAACAATCATAACCTAAGGTGAAGACCTAGTAGAAGAACAGCAAAACAAAGAGTCGAAATCATTGAATGATGTAGTAAACTCCTTGAGTGAAATGATGCGCTCGCCGAATAAAAATTTAGCTCGCTATGCAATGAGCTGACTGAAGTGAAGGCTCAGCCAAAAAATACGAAAAATGGAAGCAAAGAATCAGAGAGTTTATTTATCTGAAGTTGCTAGCAAAAGCTCTCGAGAGTTACTTGACAGAGAGCGTAGGAAGTCTAACCTTGCCTCGTTTGGTGTTCCCGAAAGTACCGCATCTGATACGAAGAACCGAGTGGTGACTGACACTGCATTTATCGCAGATTGTCGTAGCAAGGCACTCAACACACCGGTTGATATTACATCGTGCAAGAGGCTACGCTCAAAGGATGCTGCTACCAACACCTGCAGACCTCTGTTAGTGACTGTAAAGGATCCTGCTCAGGTTTGGATTTTGCTGAAGGCAGCGAGAAAACTTGGAGAATCCGCTGATTACAAGTCCGTTTTTGTACAGAAAAATTTCTCTCCTTTAGAGAGGGCGGATCTTCATAGGAAATGGCAGGAGAGAATCACGCGGGAAGGAACGGAAAATCAGATCAATCACTTTCAAGCTGCCAAGACAATGCCGGCCGCTCAAGGTCAGTCAGAGGAGATGGAGGACAAGTAATTAATAGGAATGATGTCCGCAGATCTAGGCCGGTGAATAATGAAGGAAGTAACGGCATGCATCAAAGTGAAAGTGCACAAAAAGCTCTAAAATGTTTTTATACGAACTCGGATTCCGTTTTAAACAAAAAAGTGAAGGGTTAACTGTGATCGAACACGAGTGTATAGACATTATTTGTATTACAGAAACACTCCCCTAAAAATCACTGGGAGAAAATTGAGTCGCGGTTGAGCCGTGTCAGGTCGCGGTTGAGCCGTGTCACAAGACAGACGTGCGTGCTGCGCGGGCTCACAGCTTGCCTTTTCACAATGCGGTTGAACTGTATTAACGCATTTTGTATTGAAACGTCTCACTAAAAGGACTTGAAGTGAAGTCAGTGAAAGAGAATGCAAACAGAGAGTGGAAGTAAATAGCGGTTCCCTGCTTTTTTAATGCTAAAAAACGAGGGTAAATCTAGTGAGTGATGGCACCTTGTGTCGAAGATATGCGAAGTGCCCTCTGTTAAGCCTACTCTCTCGAACCGAGCTCCGTCAACTTCACCCTTGCCCCTCCGTCTACCTCTACGCTGCCCGCCGTCTAGGGACTCTTATCCTGCCCCTCACCCTCTCTACCCCTCTGCCGCAAGCCTTGCATTCCCTCAGCCAACCCCTCTCCCCTCGCTCAGCTGTTCAGCTGAGCCCCCTTGCTCAGCTAGAGTCGTAATTTTTGACGGAACTTTAACTCTACTCAAAGTCAATTCAGTTTCAAAATTGTGTGTTTTCCGTGCATTGTATTTTTAATTTCCAATTCTGTTTTAAATAGAATTTTAAATTCAACTCTACTCAAGTCAATTCAGTTTTTACACTTGTGTTTTCCTCCGTGCATTGTAACTCAGTCGTATGTTTCTCCGTCCTTTTCTGTATTTTTCTCCATTCAAGAGATCTAGTTCGTGCATTTAATAATGGCTGGATCGGCATCGCGTCGGCCAGACGTATGATAACCAGCCCTCACGCGTCTCGGCAGCAAACTCGAGCAAGCTCGCTGTGGAGTTCGGGCGGCTTTGAATACAAACCTTAACGCCTTCCCATCTACTACTGTGTGGTCATCGCATCCGAGCCCTTGGTAATTCGGAGGTAGACCTGGATACTCTACTTGATCCCACAATGTACGAAAAGGAAATTTTCAGCAAACGTGAATAGCGGTTAAGATTGTTACTTGCACATTTTTTTAGCCGCTGGAAGAATGAATACCTGAAATCGCTTAGTGAAAGGGACCGTCATTTGTCGACGACTTCCAATGGTCACATTGGTCCAGGCGATATGTTGATCAGCGACGACGCTCCTCGCATGTCGTGGCTGCGGGACGACTGAAATAGCCCAGCATTGCCCAATACCAGCATAATTTTCATACTTCTCCCCGTGCGCAAGCATGCTGCAGAGCAAATTAGCCAACATGATTACTTGCTGAAAGCCACAGGGACCGAACCCCTTCGTGGATGTAAACCAGCGAGCCAATGAGCTGCAAGCCGCCAAAACAATGGTCGTAACCCACACGCTAAATCCCAAAATATTTCTATTCCATGCAGCCTAGCCCCTTCACCACTTTTGATAACGAACACCCTGCGCCACAGTGCTATCAGTACACTGCTACCTCTCCAGCCTGTCCGTTCTTCTGGAGGCTAAACCTCCACGCTTACCCCCAGCTCCCCCTCCTTTCGGTACCAGCTTGCGGAAGAATTCTAACCAAACCTAACCTAACCTAACCCTTTCGCGGAAAGGTGGAGAGAAGGGGGTAAGTGTGGAGGAAGAAGATGCTGGTGAGCGTCATGGCTGGGCTTACGCCTGCGAAGTGGGTAAGGTGATGCGACAGTCCGGTGCGGGGCCGTTCCCATTTACGGCAGTCTGGTGCGGTCTACGGACCCTGTGGCTTACGGCATTTGTAACAAGTGATGGTATGGGCTTAAATCATTGGTGTAGGAGCTATTGGGCGTAATCCGTTTGGAGTATCAGCTTGTGGGCTGAGGCATTGCTTGTTTCAAGCTGGTGTGGCGAGATGAGGCAAGTAAGAACAGCTGCATAGGCTTTAGGCTGACTTTTTCTATTGCATGTAGAGGGTTGGCATTGGCTCTTGGGCTGATTTAAGAATCAAATTTTTGGGCTACGGCAGCGCTCCCGTGGCTGCTGGGGAGGGTAATGCGGTTGCATACCGGCCTAGATGGCGTGGTGCGTTCAGTTGAACTAAAGACGAAAGCTGGAACAACTACTCGACCGATTATTAAATTGGTAAATTTGGAAATTCCTTCTGAACTTCGTAACATCAGCGAGTCTGACAGGTCGAGCACATCAAGAGATCCCATTCCAAAACGGGAGGCAGCTGAGCAAGCCCGCGAGAAAATAGTAAAATTGTTTGAACGATAATTTGTTTACAATTTCTGAATTTATGAATGCATACATGATAACTGTTGTTTTCACGAAATGTTATGTGTAAGGTATAGCTATGTTAATACAGGCTTAGTCTAATGTAAATATTTAAGTACTTGACGTTTCCGTTTGCAGCGCCATTGTTAAAGAATTGTTGGTGTACATATTGGGTATTGATCTACATGCGTTTCTTATTTCTGAGTCGTTTTCTCTGCGTGGCGGAGTGTGCAATTTGTATAATTACATTTGTATATTTTCATGTAGAACCAGTAGTTACGCGTTACTATTGTTTACTATAGCATGACGTAAGTCAGATTACGTCAGTCTTTACCTCGGCGTCTTCCTCCTCGGTTGTGTCAATAAACTTACGAACCATTCAACCTTTAATTCCAACCCTACGGAATTAACATGTTTTTTTTTAATTATCGCTTAAAATTAAAGATGGACATGACCGTCTTGCCGTAAATCTACGGAACGCGAACATGAATGCTTCAGCTGACCCATTATCAACAAGTTCCAAATGTACAGCGCGTGTCACCATACATGTGAAGAGACAGACATATACCTTGTGCACATTTTCCTTATCTTTAACATACATAGCTCCTGTATAATCAACTCCAACCGTGCTGAAGGGCTTGGCTTCAACTACGCGGAAATGAGGATATGGGGCGACGACAGGTCGCTTAATAGTCCGAGCATGGTAACGTTTGCAAATGATGCAAGTCCTAAGGACGCTTTTTACACGTTGTCTACCACTAGGTATCCAAAACTTATCTCTAATGGAGCTCAGAACATGGTTTACTCCAGCATGAAAACATTGGAAATGATATGAAGAAATCAATAAATTCGTAAAATGACATTTAGAAGGTAGGAGCAAAGGTAACTTAGCAGTTTGTGGCAAAGCTGCATGGCGTAACCTTCTACGGCAAGTCAGCTTGCCGGCTTCTATTTCAAGATTCAACTGTCTCACAATAGGCGGCCTCTTATTGACTTTGCCCTCCAAGTACTGAAAGCAATCTCTATAGTAATGACTTTGCAATAACTCAATTAGCTTTTATTCAGATTTAGTTATTTCCGTTCCTGTCAAACTGCTTCCGCAGTTAACAGCTGCGGAGCATGGAAAATTGACCTTTGTTCGACTAATGAATCTCAAAACAAAGGCAAACACTCTGATCATACGTGCATAAGAACTGAAGCGTTCCACAAAACTAGGCACAAATATACACGCATCCCGTCCCTCAACTTCAGCCGCG